ACAACGCGTGGATGTTGATAAGCGTCCAGATAGGACACTTTGGAGAGACATTGACAAGCTTATTAACGAGATTGACAAGGATGACAACACGTGGAATGCATGTTGGATATAAGATGCGTTGATTTTTACATTTACAGTATTCTTAATTTAGCAACTGGTGATTAAGCAATAAGTTATTGCTCAAAGCGAGTACACGCAACTAGTTGTCGTTTATGGCAGCGGGAAGTTTGGCGTTTGATTTGTATTGGCGTTTCTATGAAGAATAGCCCCGTTCATTCTTACATGTTTGAAAAAAGAGGCTTGTCTTACATATATTGAATTTTCAATAAACAGAGGAGGAAATGAGATTATTAACCAGACTTTGCAAATATCTTATTATTATGGAGTTTAATGTTATTATTATTATATCAAATAATTTTGGCTATTATAAAAATAATAACACTACAGTAAACCCTCTCTAATATCCACCCCGTTAATACCAACCTCTCTCTATTAGCAACAGTGGTTAAAATAATATCACGTACACTACCCTATCAAAAGTATCCGGTCGATCAATAAAAATTATATTTTATTATAAATGTTTAATATTTAGTTGGCCATCCTTGGTTTTTAATACATGCTTCACTCTTCCGTGGCATACTTTCAATTAAATTAATATAAGTTTCGGATGGGATTTTTTCCACATTCTTCTTGTAATGCTTCTTCGAGTTCATAAAATTCTTGTTAGAATTTTTGTATCGGGAAATTGTGTCTGTAATAGTACTTTTTTGAATTTTACTTTTTTGAATTTTAAAGATACGACCAATGGCTCATGAGTATAAAAAGGCCAATAACTTATCTACGCTCAAATCCATTTAACTTGCGATTTTTTCCTATTTCAAAATATGCTTCGAACGGCACAGTAAAGAAAAAGTTAAAGATTGTCACGATCATTGTTTATATTTTTATTACCAAATTGGGTGTACGCGTTATAATACAAACCAATAATTGCCAGAACCAGGACATTTATTTTATAAAAAAAAAAGCTAATTGATATGTCCGATCTTGAGAAAATCAAAAAAAGCTTGACCGGATACTTTTGGTAGGGTAGTGTATTATTTTAATAACAGATAACCGATTTTGTATTGGATTTTTACAAACCCCATAAAAACGATTGTCATCGCCATTATTTTTGCCGAAAACTGTAACTTACTTGACTAGTATATTTGAAGTAATGGTTTCGGTGAGTAATGAGCAAAATATGTTAGCTATTGGATACACGTTCCGCTTATTATCACTGAAGAGGTAATTCGAATACAGACGACTCGTGTCAATGGCAGCAGCCGGTATGAAACTGAGATTTAATATCAAAAATGGAATTGATGCACTTGAGAGCTATTCTACCAATTGCAATTGCTAGGCAAATTACCACGCCAGGGTATAATCTACTCTTATGAGTATTCCAGTCTGTGGTGAAGAACTGTCCTCCAGAGTTAACTTGGAATTCTACCATCGAGATAGATGCTACGCAGAGAATTACTGTTACCAAAACGAATAATGTATAATACTACGCAGGCAGAGTATTAATTATTCACCACTTGGCCCGGTTATGCCTTTGCCATCTCTCTCTGAAGAATTATATTTGTCTAGACATTGGTTAATATCGTATGATAGGAGTATGAGACTAGCATGTTCACTAAATACAAGGGTATTAATATGAGCACGTAATGAAGTGGTAGCGAGAAGAACCTTTGTAATCCGCCTATCACGTTTACTAAGCCGGGTCGTCTTTCCTGAATAAAACTGTGCTTTTTGTCGCCGAATTGTTTTGTTTTACTATAATTAAGTTTTTATATGCTTAATATTGAATGACTGTTTGTGAAGAAAGACGTATCAGTTTACTGTCACAATGTTAAGATTACCAAGGCTCTGGAGCTTCGAGTAGATATAAAATTTTTTCTATTACTGTTACTATTACATCGAATCTGCAAAATCTTGGGGATATGTCGGCGCTACAATCAGCTTTTGTATCGCGATTGCCAAATTGAGTAACGTTGTAACAATGGGTGCTCTCAACAGCTTACCTGACAAATTGGCAGGTAGGTAAGTTAAAGTGCTCATAAGCTCTTGCCAAAAAAAGTGGAAAGATTTCTTATGTCATAGAATAAGATTACTGTCAGTTACTATTTATGGTACCTCCCCTCTACCTCCCCTACAGTGATTGCTAATTTTAGTAACCTCGATTGCCAAATCTGATAAGGGTGAGAGCGCCTAGCTTGAATTGGATGTAGTAATTTAAACATTGTGCGAACAAAGGTGATGCATAGGTTATAGTTCCTTCATACTTATCGTATATTCTCATTGTGATTATAAAATCAATCTATAATACAATTCTGGTTACTGTGATTACTATAACCAACCCCCAAGTTTGTGATCATTCATTCACGAGAATATACGGTATATCAAAAAATCGTTTATTAAGAAAATCTTGATACAATAAATTATAATACAAATGTTCGAAATAAATTTAGGAATAAGATCAGGAGATTCAGTCGAGCGTTGCGGAAAAAGCGCAACGCTAGTTTTGGGAGATTGTAAAGGGGAAAGTTGTGTCGTTGTGTGTGGCATTCGCATTGGGTTGATGTTTCTGGCATCTGCGCTGGTTGATTTAAAAACCGTTTGGTTTTTTTTCGGTTGAGATGGCCCGCATTGTAGCCCGGGTACATTTTTTTGAATCTTTTTTCTATTATAGCAGCCGCAAGTTCGTATAAAAGTCGTTGGGAGGGTTCGAGGAGGTTCCATTCTTCCATCGCTCGTTTGACTTCGCCCCTCCCCTTATATAGACAGGATTTCCTTGGGCTCAGTTTTTTACTATATTCCTTTATATATATTAGGGCTGCATTGCGGGTTCTTCTGGGACGCCCATTCTTGTTTGCAGCAGAGCAGCCCCAAGGTTGTTGTATGCTAGTAACTCTTCTTTGGTGCAATAGGGCTGCTGACTGAGCCTTCCTGTATTCTTCGTCAACCTCTTCATTAAATCGTCATTAAATATTGCCATCGTATATCGGTGAATTTTGTAGATGATACAAGTGTAGACGAAGTATCTTTATGAATTTTGGTTGGATGATAAGAGTGTAGACGAAGAATTTTTTTGGTTTTGTTTGAATTTTTGTTTGGAATTTTTGTTTGAGTTTTGTTTGAATTTTGGTTGAATTTTGGTTGGGTGATATACATGTGTATGTGAGTTTCTCGAGGTGAACATCGACCTCTGCTTTATATAGAGAAATTTCAATATGTGTTCCACATTCTTACATTGGGAATTTGCAATTAGTAATCGAGTTATTCAGTGTTTGTTTTAGGCTTAGTCTTGTAACATCGGTATGCATACCTTTTCTTCCATAGAATTCCATCTGTCTGCGCATTTTCATTCAATGCATTGGCTAAAAGATTTCTTGATAATGCACAGATTGATGATGGGGCTGAAGTACATGATAAGTGTTTCCTTTTTTATTTTTTCAAAGTACAGTAACCATTTCAACATCGGATACATATTCTTGTTCCCTCCAAATGGCAATGCTTAAGGCTTGTTATGATAACTCATGATCATATGATGGTCATATTCGGCTATTCTATAAGGCGAAATTTTGTTTGAATTCTGCATACACACTAGTATCGAACTTTCCGTATCTGGTAAGCCGAACCATATGGTAAGTTAAAAAAATTAATTTAAATATACCACATAATTAATTTGTTATAACTGATAAGGGCGTAGTAAGACATGCAATAAAATTCTGCGCAAATGGTTGTACAATTAAGGAGTACATCATGGTATATGAGTAACATACTCGTCTGTACCAAGTATGAGTCATCCTTTTACCTCCGACTTTGAACTATTTTTATAATGGTATCAGCCGAATATTAAGCCATCATTATTATACGAGAATTGTAAGCAAAGTCAATCGAGTGGCATGACTATGAAGATCACGTGTCACAAATTATGGTATTGATGCCCGGCACGATTTATCCCCTTGTCACAAATAGACCCATGCACGGTATAACTGCAACAGGAATGGTGGCTTACCTGAACGCGACTTCCAAATGGCCTTCAATGCAATGCGAAAGAGCGCATAGATGACGCGACGAGACGATTAAGATTTCAAATAATCCTGATAAAGATGCGCTGTTGAAAGACGTGGGATGCTAAAGCGAGCACCTTACCACACGATGATGCTAAAGCGAGCACCTTACCACACACGATGATGCTAAAGCGAGCACCTTACCACACGATGATGCTAAAGCGAGCACCTTACCACACGGTGATGCTACTTATGCTAAATCGATCGGGTTCGATTTGTTCTGGATTGGGATGCCCCGCACTCGAGAAGGATATTAACATTATCGATATCAAGGAGGCACACGATGTGCTATTAATAAAGCTGTTACTGATACAGCATATGCTGACATTATATGGATGGTGATTGTTATTTTTACATTTAAATGTTGTTTTAATTACGTAGCGGATTGTTTAACTTTTTATCTTGCCTACATCGACTTCTGCAGGAAACGAAAAACCCTATATACTCGCAAGCGAAAGAATTCGCTGAAGGTGATACATCATTGTCGTAAATGTCATGTATATTACTTGAATACGTTAATATAACCCATCAATTTTGTTTGATTTCGGCAGGTGTTTTGGCTGTGCATCCTAAAATAATGCTAGCGTATAACTTATCTCTTAGTTTTAATTGGGACAGGTTAGTGAGGTTAAGCATGCGTTGACTTGAAGAGTTACACGTTCTTACCTAATGTTATATGACCAACAATTTCATTTGGGACTTCTTGCTAGCTTTCATTCAGATGCACTTGGAATTACTAGACCGATAAAGTTAATGTAAATACGTTTAACTGAATTATATAATAATCAAGCTCATATTCCATACTCTTATTACTGACGCACAATATTTATATAATTTCTATATTATATTGAAATAACGTCTATAGCATGAATCAAATACAAGTGCGTGTTGACGTTGATCTAATATTGTGAATCTCACCATGTACTTTATTATATTTACAAATGTTAGATGGCAAATTTTACATGTTAATATACATTCGATTTAATTATCAATAGCAGGATGATGCCAAGTGACCTCTTGTAAGCAGTGACTGCATTTAATTGGAGAGATGGCAACTTGTGGACCTTCCAACCACGATTCTTGTTATCCTAGACAAAAACTTCCTGGGCTTCTTCAGATTGTGTGTTCTGTAAACAGACCGATTTAGCCAGGGAGCTGACGGAAGTATAAGTTGATCATCATTAAGCATAACGTCTACGAGTTGGATTATATTTTCTATAATTTTAGGAACGGATCGTCTACTTGTATCAGTTAACGACGGCAATCTATCTACAATGGATGTACGGTCATACTTTTTTTTTCTACGCCACAACATTCACAGAGTTCGTAGTGTCTCATTGCCGCGATTACTATAGGTTCTAACTCTGCTCCCAGTACTCATGCACCTATTTGCATCGCTTCTAGGAGTTGGAGGGTCTGACTGTCCTGGGGGAGTAGTAGGCTGATCATCAGTGTTAGATTGTTGACATCCCTGGCGCGTGCTTTAATGCTTTTCGCCTTGATAAATGCGGCAAGCATTTAGTGGCATGTCCTCTAAGGTTGACATTTTCATCACCGAGCTCTGAAAACAGAAGATCTGCAATTGCTCGTTCAGACTGTGCAGATTTGATGTGGCGTTTAAAATTGTCCTCAGTAGTAATTCTTTGTGTCATATTTTGTTTTATGAATTTAATCTAGGGCTTCATCAAATGCAAAGTAATGAACTATACTTCGGGGTCGCGAGTCGCAACGCATTAACTATTTTATTTTTCTGCGGGGGGGGGGGGGGGGAGACTTGACTATGGCTTCCTGTGTAAGGTTTACACAGAGCCGACGTATTGGAGAAGTTTCGTAATTGAGGATATTGAGTGATTTCTGAAAGGAAGTGGACCACCGCTTTACTATATTGATGCTTTCCGAGTTCAGCAACTTCCGATTGTAGTTGTTGAATCTCAAGACGATTTTCAACAACTTCCATGTTAATTGTTGATTTTCCTGACTACTTTTAGTAATTACACCAGTACTTTCCTTTTTAACTAAGGCTGTGGATACTAATTCTTTAATATCCTGAACTATCGTATCTGTATACGATAGTTTCAGCAGATTCGAACAGGTATCCGCTTCTTCAACTGCTGCTGGTTCGTATTTGTTTTCTTTCTTATTATTTCTATGGGCTACTATAATACCTGCAATACAGGAACAATATTTAGATCGTCTAGAAAGTAGCCCGCGCCAATGCCTGTACTGGATAACGACCTTTATGATAATTTTACAATTTATCGGAATTTTATATATAGCTTTTGTTAAAAGTTTTCATATTTTGAATAATCTTTACCGATATTTTCTTCATGGTTTTTACATTGTATAAATACTGTGCAATCCATATAGTAGACAATCATGTCTACACCTCCATCTCCAGATTTTATTCTAATAATTCAGAATTTTAATGAAAATTTAGTGCACCTTATAGGTATCATATGCACAAAATATTGCAATATGTTAGTAATAGTAATACACTTAAAACTTTTTAGTAGAATATGACTGAACGAAAAGAGCTTACTGAGTTTGAACGTGGCCTTATTATTGGAGGGTGGCTATTTGGTCACTCAGAATGAGAGATTGAGGAAAAAACTGGCCATCCAAAGTCAACAATACATGATACAATATCAAGGCATTGTGAAACTGGCCTGCCACACGCACTGGGAGACCACCAATACTGACTAACAGGGATAAGCAACATCTTGAAATTGCTGTTCGAACCAATTGCCGGCAGACTACAAAACAAGTTCATGCAAACTTTGTCCAATCAACCGGAACTGCTGTTAGCGAATCGACTATAAAACGAGCTTTGTAATGAATCGAGGTATAATAGCCGAGTTGCCGCTCGAAAACCACTTATTATTTCAAGGAAAAACAAGAAGATCGAATACAGTGGGCTTGAGAATGTCGATAATGGACTGCAGATGATTGGAAAACAGTGATATAGAGTGATGAATCTCGCTTTACTCTGTTTGAAAATGATGGTAAAGCCCGTGTGTGGAGACTTCAAAAGGAAAGATATGATATTGACTGTGTTGTTCCTACAGTCAAACATGGTGGTGGTGGAATAATGGTATGGGGCTGCCTTACATGGGATTGTTTAGGCCCTTTAATCAGAAGATTGACAGTAAGAGATACATTGAAGAAGTACTGCAAAGTCATTTAGTGCCATTTATGCAAGGATTGGAGCAAGATGTTGAGGAGTATGCATTTCAACAGGAAGGACAATGCTTCAATCCACAAAAGCAGGCTTACTATTCCTATGAATTTTTTTGCAAATCCAGAAATAAGCTTGATGAAATGGCCTGGACAGAGCCCAGACCTCAATCCTATTGAGCACCTGTGGGATGAACTTGAACAACGTATTAGAAAACAAAAACTGCCACCAAAAACTGAAGCAGAGTTGTTCAGGTTGCTCCAAACAGAATGGGAACAAATTCCAAAAAATGTATACCAAAATCTTATTCTTAGTATGAACAATAGAGTAAAGGCAGTTCTAAAAGCTAAAGGTTATGCAACTAATTATTAACAAATATTTTTTCGTTTACAAGTGTAAACAAATGCGTTTCAAGCATTAAATAAATATACAGATTGAAAATATACTCAATTAAGTTTTTTTTTTTTGAAAATTCATTAAATTTTATAATAAGTTTGTTTTCTCAACAATAAAGTAAGATATTTGGCCAAACTTACTTGCATTTAATAGCAGTTCTTTTGCGCTTTCGAATGAATGTAAGTTTGTGTAAATTTATTATGTGTACCAATATGTTAAATAACTTTAGATTTTTAGATCGTATAACTTAGTTTTATCATTTTCGGTGACACAAATATTAGTTACAGTCAGACCTCTCTAAATGCACGTCGTCGGGACCGACGATGCGCTTGCATTTATGGAGAGCGTGCATTTAGAGAACGCCAATCATTTTGTTTCACGTGACCTATTCGCATAATATATACAGTCGAACCTCAATAAAAGAACACAGTCAGGACAGCCAAATTATGTTCCACATAGATAACAACATTTATACTTATATGGTTGCTTACGACACCAATTAATAATATCAACACGCGAACACGCGTCTACTCATACGTATACGCCAAAACCACGCTATTAGTGCTACTCGCTATAATCATTATCGTTTAATTAAATTTATACGCTTGACTTGTAACTAGTGAAAAATATTTTACTGCGACTGTCACAGTAATATCATTGTAACATACGTAATGATGTGTTACACTAGGCAATATTATTAATACAGTCAACCCTCTTTACAGTCACCCCCTCTATAAGCACAACATATAAAAACCTCTTTATAAGCACGCCATGTTTGAGAACCAATTAATATTGAACTTATAGAAAAAACCCTCTATATGGTCACAACCTCTTTATAAGCACATTTTCAACAAAAGTTTCATTGTTCCGACAGCGTGACTATAAAGAGGGTTGACTGTATATCGATACCCGCTTATGCTTTACTGTTGGTTGACAGTGATTGTTGTGGCTGACTCTCACACTCCTTATTGCGTAAATCACGACAATATTTATACTTATAAGGTCGCGCACGACAACAATATCAAGTGTCATCTTCCGTCATTTAACACGCGAACACGCGTCTACTCATACATACATACATATAATACCCTGACGCTCCTCTCATAGCGCATGTTATCAAAAAGTTAATATACAACGAACAATGCCCTTGATGATGCTCCATATTACGCACATACGACACTTTGTTACAACTCACGGTTATCAACCACGTAACCGATACTCATATAAACACATATATATTCAAACGCCATATTGCGCATACGGCGGTTTACAACTCTCAAATAAGTCTTTGAAACAACAACTCGGTTTATCGACGAGTTCCGTAGCAAGAGGAAAGCAGTTTGAAGACGAGGTAAGAACTCTTACTGGGTATCTGTTGAGTGGTTAGTGCGCTGCCACTAGGTTAAAAATCGGATTACACGAAAGCGCATCGTGACTACACCTGTAGATTGTTTATCTTTCGGGTTATTACTTAGTATGTGTATTTGAAGGTACGCTGCCACTAGGTGTAAATCGGAGGTTTGAAAAAACCCCGTTACCGAAAAAAAGAGCCGTGTTTACTTCGGCTTCATGGTGAATAGGATACACTTGAAAATACTTTGTGGTCGGGGCCTAATCGTATGATTTACTTGCTGAACGTTCGGTAATCCGTTCCGAAACGCCGACTGTAGCTTGTCACGCTCGGGC